GCCTACAATTGAGGAGTATACTACCTTGTTACACTATGAAGGAATCAGAATGGATTGGGTCTTCATCAAATATATCAAGAGTCAGCCTTTCAAGAATGGGTTGGAAAAGGTTGCAGGGGTTGATGAAAAAATGGGTAAAAGATCAGATTCAACACAAAGGCAAGGGAGAAGGAATTGCTTGAACTCACATCAAGCAGTTAATGAAGAATCACCCAGATGAGTGGAAGACGATTGATCTTTTTGCACTGGGTGTCTATGGCCTGGTTATCTTCCCTAAAACTTTGGGATATATTGAGGCAACCGTGGTGGAACTATTTGAACAACTAGCCAAGAAAGTAAATCATGTTCCAGCAATTCTAGTTGAGATATTCCGTTCACCAAGTCATTGCAGAACGACTGGCGAAGGACGATTTATAGGGTGCACACCACTACTTCAGGTTTGGATCCATAACTATTTTTGGAAAACATAAAAGATTTCCTACCGCCGATTTAGTATTACTTACTCTCATTTGGAGGAATTCCTTACAAAAAAATGATGAGAATGTATTCCAAATGATAAATGGGTAAAAGTATTCACGCACCTCCAGGACAAGGACATCGTACGGAGAGCCCCCGTGGTTGACTCATAGAGACATTCTTTACCGGTGTGGAGACTCAAGAATAGTAATGTTACTTGGGTTATGGGGAGGAGTTGGCTATTCTCCACTCTTAGTGCTTCGGTAGTTTGGGGCACGCCAGTTTGTTCCAATCACACATGAGATATATGGATCGGAGTTTGCATACCATGAGGACAACTACAAGAAAAAGGTTAAAGATGTAGTTGAGTCATGGAAGAAGATATTTCGTACAGAGGTTGTAGAAAGACATACTTACTCAAGATTATATGGAATGGAGAAAGCTAAGTAAGAATGACATTGTTCCTACACCAGACCATGAAGATACCTGAACCATAGAAGAGCACCTTAAGCTAGCCCTCTCTTAACTGGAGATAGTAAGAAAGGAGTTTGAAGCTGAAAAAGAAGAACTAAAACAAAGATTGAGAGAGTTAGGAGCTGAAAAATTCCAATGGAAGCTGGATGCTGATACTCAAAAGAACCTAGCGAACATGTTAGAAAAAGAACGGAATAAAATATACTTTGAGGTATAAGATTTGAGAAAAAGGTATCAAGAGCAAGTTCAGGACAATTCTAGCTTGAAAATATATTTCGAGTACTGGAAAGGCGAAGCTAGCAGCCTAAAAAGAAAGTTTGTGGGACAAGATGAAAGAGATACACCGAAAGAGCAGTTAAAAACTTCCCAAAGACGTTTGTTAGAAAGGCAACACCAGAATAAGCGATTGAAGACCAAGGTAATTGATATGGCGAGGTCTCTTCAAAGACAACATGAATAGGATAGCAAAACTATAGCTGAGTTGGAGGCCATTGTGGATAATTTCAAGAAACATGCAAATGAACTCTAAATTATTCCTTTCGATAGAGGATTCCAGTGGCGTTTCCGTTGAGAACATGCTCATCAAAGGGTGAAGGCTAGAGATGCAGTTATTCAAGACTTCTTAGAGCAGGTATAGAAAGCGGAACGCCACTTGCATGGTTTGGTGAGAGAAGCCGGGGTAGTTCGATAAGGTATTCAGCAGTGACGGAAGAAACAAGAAGACTTTTCAACAAATTAGAATCCATTCGGAATCTAGAAGACCTATCTAGAATTTACATTTGAATTGTTTTTTGTCTATTAGAAGTAACACTTTTGTCCCAATAAAGACTATCTATAATAACAGACACATTTTTTGGATCAATGCCTTGGAAATTCCATGTATCTTGCATTTTTACATATTTCACATTTTTATTTCTTTACATTTAACTTAACTAACAAAAAATGTCTCATCAAACAAAGGAACAAACACTGGACGGGACCACCTCAAGAATTGGACACATCTTATCCTCACAATACTCGTTCAAAGAAGAATAATATGGAAGCTAAAATAGCTTAGCTTGAGGAAGATAAGCTAAAACTGAAAAAATAAGTTGAGGAGAAAATGAGTCAGAATAATAAAAATACCTTGGATTCTATCACTAGGAACCAAGAGTCACTGGTTGATCAGATCGTTGCAAAGTTGTTTGGTCTAAATCAAATAAGTTCCCCTAAGGCAGGGGCATCTAAAGGGGTGACTGTATCACCTACCTCGCAGCTGGTTATCTCACCTGGAATCCTACCAAGACTTCCAGGGGACTCATATGCTGCAAAAATCATAAGCTTCATCTACTGCAAAGGCACAATTTTTGTCTTCTGCAAAAGCACAGGCCTCTGTAACCAACCCCCAGAATAACTCGGATGATTATCGTATTCCGAATTTTGATGAAGAAGATAAAGAAAAGAAGATTGAGGAGAAGATCAAGCAGTTGGAAGATAAAATGAAGACAGCCAGAGGAGAAGACAATTATTATGGTGTTGACGTTTTGGAATTAAGTCTGTTCCCGGATTCAATTCTTCATTCGAAGTTTAAACTCCCGGATGTTGAGAAGTTTGATGGGAATAGTTGTTCTTCAACTCACATTACCATGTTATGTCAAAAGATGACAGGATATGTAAAAAATGACCAGCTCCTGATTCACTGCTTTCTGGAGAGTCTGGCAGGTTAAGCCATCCGATGGTACAACCAGTTGAACCGTTCACTCATCAAGACGTGGAAGGATCTTTCCAAGTCATTCTTGGAGCAATACAAACATGTAAATGTCATGAGACCAGATCCTGTAATGATACAAAGTATGGAGAAGAAGCATAACGAAAGCTTCAGACAGTATGCACAATGGTGGAGGGTTCTAGCTGTGCAGGTTCATCCCCCTTTGGATAAGAAATAGACAAGAAAACTCTTCGTACATACCTTGAAGGCTCCTTACTTTGGGCATCTGGTTGCAATTATGTCTGAAAATTTCTCTAATTTGGTTATGGCTGGAGAGATGGTGGAAACGACCATTAAGTAGGGAAAGATTGAAGGAGGTGAGTCCAGCAGGAAACGTCCTATGAAGAAAAGAAAAGAGGAGATCAATAACATCAACACTTTCAACACCAACAAAGGTTTTATGATCCGCAAGTCAAAACCAACTGCAACTGTACTGATAGGTACTTCTAGACAAGATTTAAGGGAACCAAGGAAAAAAAAGAGAAATAACATTTCGATCCTATTTCCATGATGTACAAAGAACTCTATCAACAGAGTTTTGACACGCATGTGGTGTCACCATATCCAGTGGAACCTCTCAAACCCCTATACCCCAAGTGGTACGATGAGAACGCGTATTGTGAGTGTCATGGTGGTGTCCCAGGGCATGCTATTAAAAACTGCCTCACCTTTAAGAGAATCTTTCAAAGGAAACACAACAGGAACCAAATTCATTTAACTCAAAAACACCTAACGTTGCGCAGAACCCTCTGCCTAACCACTAAGAAAATGGGGTTAATGCAATCATCGAAGAGAGAGTCAAGAGGATCAAAATAAGTATTTCTAAAGTGAAGTTTCCTTTGGCTTGGGTATGGAGGAAAATGGTAATGGTAGGATTTCTTGCACCACATTCTAGTACATCGGAATACAATGGTGGTAACCATTACAGTTATCACAATGAAGAGGGACACGAGGTGCACGAGTGTTCTAAATTTAAAGCCTTGATCCAAATCACGATGGACATGAAGGAGTTGTAATTCTATGAGGAAAATAAGGACAATCCAGAAGTCGATGTTTATGTGACTGGAGATTCATATGACAAGGGGTATGGCACGGGCCACCCTTTAATAATCACCCCTAAAACGAAGATGAAAGATAAGGCATCGACAAGGGTGGTGATAGTGGCACCAAGACCTTTTCCTTACAAAGATAACAAACAAGTTCCTTGGAAGTATGAATGCCATATGAGCTCTTTAAAGGAAGATGTTAATAAAATGAGGCATTCTGTTGGGAAGTACTATTCCCAAAAATATAGCTTACCCTAGAGAATACTTGAACCATTCAAAGAGGATAAACCCAACAATGAACAAGCCTATAAAAAGAGGAAGAAGTTGTGGAGTTTCTGAAGTTCTTTAAACACAGTGAATACGATATTGTAGAACAGCTACACAGCTTCCCATCATGCATTTCAATGTTGGCACTATTGCTAAGTTTAGAGACACACAGAGAGACACTTCTGAAGGTCTTAAATCAAACATTTTTGTCGAAAGGCATACCAGTCAATAAGACAGATTGACTGGTTAACATATCCAAGCTGATAACCTCATCTCATTTTTTGATAATGAGATTCTGTCCAGAGGAATGGGCCGGGAAAAAGTTTTGCATATCACCACTCATTGCAAGGGGAACGCTTTACCGAGTGTATTAATCAAAAATGGTTATGTCCTTAATGTAATACCTTTGGTCACTCTTAAGAGGCTACCAATGGATACTTCCCGCATGAGAGCATGTCAGAGTGTGGTTAAAACATTTGATGGGACAAAGAGACAAGTTCTTGGCAAAATTGAAGTACCATCAACCATTGGACCTACCATATACAACATAGAGTTCATGGTGATGGACATTATGCCTTCTTATAACTGCCTTCTAGGAAGGCCATAGATTCATCAAGTTGGGGCAGTACCATCAATACTGCACCAGAAAGTCAAGTTTGTTATTGACGAGAATATAATAATTATTAATGTAGAAGAAAACATAGTGGCAAGTGTGTCCATTGATGCCCCTTACATAGATGTGAATGAGGAGGCTTTGGAGTGTTCATTTCGATCATTAGAGTTTGTTAATGCCATATTTATGGCTGAAGGGGGTAAGATTTCAAACCCATACTCTCATACTGCACCAAGATGGAAATCAAGCAGAATTTGGGTAAAGGTGTAAAGATAGGAAGAGGGTTCGGGAGTTCTTTACAAGAAAGAATAAGCCCTATTTCTCCTTTTATCATGCTAGATCACTTTGGGCTTGGATATTAACCCAGTCATGAACAAATAAGGAAATAGATTCAGAGATGCCAAGAAAGGAGAAAGGCAAGATTAACTGGAGAAGAAGTTTAGTGGGAACCTATGTCTTTTCCCGTCCTTCACAACATATTCAGGTTTGGTGGTTATGTTTTCTAGGAAGAGATAGGATGGCCATACCTGATCTGGAAGAAGCTCTGAAAGGCTTAAGTATTAATATTATAACCATGGAAAACGATGAAAATGTTGATATATCTGGAATTCGTCCATTACCGCCGGGATTCGTGCTTAACAACTGGACTGCTGAAAGACTATCTGTGGTTTTCAAATCACTTTCAGAGTAATACTTAAACTTTCCCTATTTTCCTATACCCGGGGCAATAGATGATCTTTTGTAAGGGTTAATGAATTGTTTTTTATTTATATTTCATTAAAAGATGCAATTTCTCTTTCCGACAGACATTCTTCCTTTTTTATTTCATTTCTTTCATATATAATTTTATTTTTTTTCTTCATTCTATGTGGGATATTTTTTTCTCACATATACATATTTTTCTTCTCCTTTCCCTTTTAGGTCTTTGGATATTCATGATGTGGACAATGATGATTTTGACCCAGAGGTGGATTTTGAGCAGTTCAAGTTCTTGAGGAAATTAATGAATGTGACCACGAAGAAGAGTGCGACTTACCTTCTGAGTTATTAAGAATGGTAGAGATAGAAGATAAACAAATTTTGCCCCATGAAGAGAAAATTGAAGTCATGAACTTGGGCACTGAAGAAGAAAAGAAAGAAATTAAAATTGGCACGACACTCTTGTCTGAAGCAAGGAAAAGTTTAATAGACTTACTTTAGGAGTACAATGACGTGTTCTCATGGTCGTAACAAGACATGCCAGGGCTAGGCACAGATATGGTAGTCCATAAATTGTCAATCAAGTCATAATGCAAACACATGCAACAAAAACTAAGGAGGATGAGACCTAAAATGCTTCTTAAGATAAAAGAATAAGTCAGGAAGTAGTTGTATGCGGGTTTTCTTCAAGTAGCCAAGTATCCAGAGTGGGTGGCTAACATCATGATGGTGCCAAAGAATGATGGAAAAGTACGCATGTGCGTTGACTTCCGAGACCTCAATAAAGTAATTCCTACTTCCCCTTGCCGCACATAGATACTCTGATGGATAACACGACAAGAAATGCTTTATTCTCATTCATGGACGGATTCTCAAGGTACAACCAGATTAAAATGCATCCAGACGACATGGAGAAAACCACATTAGTCACAATATGGGGAACATTCTATTACAAGGTGATGTCCTTTGGATTAAAGGATGATGGGGTAACGTACCAAAGAGCCATGATGACCTTGTTTCACGACAGGATGCATAAGGAGATTGAAGTTTATGTTGACGACATGATTGTCAAAGCACAAAATGAAGATGAACATGTTGAGAACCTGAGGAAACTCTTTTAAAGACTGAGAAAGTTTCAATTGAGGTTGAACTCAAACAAGTGCACCTTCGGAGTAACATATGGAAAGTTGTTGGGCTTTATTTATAGCAGAAAAGGCATTGAGGTTGACCCGAATAAAGTCAAAGCTATTCAGAATCTACCTCCCCCGTGAACACAAAAAGAAGTTAGAGGTTTTTTAGGTAGATTAAATTACATTGCTTGGTTCATATCCCATTTGACAGACAAATGTGATCCGATTTTTCGTCTTCTTCGAAAGAATAATTCTAGAACATGGGACGATGACTGCCAGACCGCATTTGAGAAAATAAAAGAGCATTTGTCTCACACCCCTGTTTTAATGTCTCACATCCCAGACAAAATTTTGTTCTTCTATATATCCATATTTGAGAATTAGATGAGATGTGTCCTGGGGCAACATGATGAATCTAGAAGAAAAGAGAAAGTCATTTACTACCTTAGCAACAATTTTACTGACTGTGACACCAGATATCCACCCATTGAAAAAGTTTTTTGCGCTCTAGTTTGGGCTACACCAAGACTCCGACAATACATGCTATATCATACCACCTGGCTAATTTCCAAATTGGACCCGCTAAAATTCATGATGGGTGTACCCGCTCTCTCTGAAAGGTTAGCCCGAAGGCATATACTCTTATATGAATCTGACATTGAGTATGCATGTCAGAAATATGTAAAAGGTAGTGCCATATTCGATTTCTTAGCAAGCAGAACTTTTGAAAACTATGAGCCATTGAATTTCAATTTCCCAGATGAAGACTTGATGGAAATATCTTTGGAAAAAACAAGTACTTCCACATGTATCTCCTGGAAAATGCATTTCGATGGTACATCAAATGTGTTAGGGCACAAAATTTGGGCTATTTTGGTCTCACCCAAAGGAAAATATTATATGTTCACTAGCAGATTGAACTTTGATTGCACTAACAACATGGTGGAATATAAAACTTGTGTTTTGGGGATTTGAGCTGCTATTGGACAGAACATAAAGACTTTGAGGGTGTATGTAGATTCTGCCTTAGTAATCTATCAGCTCCGATGGGAAACAAAACATACCAAACTGATAGAATACAAAAAGCTCATTTTGGATCTACTTAAAGAGTTTGATGAGGTCACTTTCCATTACGTGCCAAGAAAAGATAATCAAATGGAAAATGCTTTAGCTATCTTGGAAGCAACATTCAAGGCTGGTGGGGAATCCGACACGATGCCAATCGATAAGCAGTTATACGAGTACCCGACTCATTGTTATCAAATCGAAGAAGTAAAAGATAAAAATCCATGGTACCATGACATTCTGTAGTACATTAAAAGTCAAAGCTATCCAGAAGAAGCTACTGAAAATTACAAAAGAACAATAAGAAGAATGATAGCGAGATATGTTTTTGATGGAGAAATCTTGTACAAGGGAAGTCATGATCAAGTCTTGCTACGATGTGTTGATCCAGGAGAGGTAACGATGATTTTGGAGGAGGTACATCATGAAGTGTGTGGAACTCATGCAAATGGGCATATGATGGCAAGGCAAGTCATGAGATGCGGATACTTTTGATCCACATTGGAAAGTGATTGCGTCAATTATGCCAGAAGATGTCATAAATACCAAGTCTATAGGGATAAAATAAATGTCCCACCTCGTTATCTTCATGTGATGACTACTCCATGGCCTTTTTCTATGTGGGCCATGGATGTCATTGGACAAATCCATCCAAAAGCTTCAAACTGTCATTGGTTCATTCTTTTAGCAATTGACTACTTTACCAAATTGGTGGAGGCTGCATCATATGCCAGTGTCACTCAGTCCACTATTTGTAAATTCTTGAAAAAGGAGATCATATGTTGATATGGTTTACCAAAAAGAATCATTGCCGATAATGCAACAAATTTAAACAACAAGATAATGGATGTTGATATGGTTTACCAGAAAGAATCATTGCTGATAATGCAACAAATTTAAACAACAAGATGATGGATGTTGCGTGTGAACAATTTAACATAAAGCATCACAACTCTACTGCTTATCGACCAAAGATGAACGGAACGATAGAGGCAGCAAACAAAAATATTAAGAAAATAGTGGAGAAAATGACTGAGACTGGCAAGAGAAGTTGCCTTTTACTTTGTTTGTCTATCGAACTTCGATACAGACTTCAACTGGGGCAACCCTATTTTTGTTAGCCTATGGGATAGAGGTTGTATTACCCATTGAGGTAGAGATCCCATCATTCCGGGTTCTGTCAGAAGTAAAGTTGGATGATGCATAATAGGTGCAAACTCAATACGATTAAATGAACTTAATAGAAGAAAAGAGGTTGAAAGGCATCATCATGGTTAACTCTACCAAAAGTAAATGATTCGAGCATACAATAAGAAGGTGCACCCAAGAGTGTTCCATGAAGGAGATCTTGTACTGAAAAAGATTTGCCAATTCAAAAAGACTTTAGAGGAAAGTTGATGCCAAATTGGGAAGGGCCTTATGTCATGAAAAAGGCATTCTCCTGAGGAAAACTAATCCTAATTGAAATGGACGAGATGGAACTACCTAATCCTGTTAACTCTGATGCAGTCAAGAAATATTTCGCTTAGGGTGAAAACCCGAAAAGGCGCTCTAAGTCGAAAATAAAGTTTAGAGTAAAAACCCAAAAGGGCGCTCTAAATAAAAAAAAAAATGTGAGTCCAAGATGAAAACCCGTAAAGGGCATCTTGCAACCAATGGATGATCCAAGTTAAAAACCCAAAAGGGAGACTTGGGTAATGATCCAGGATTCGCGCACAGAAAGGTCTTGGATTAGGGCAACGTTATCCAATTCTTCAGAGACTTAATAATTTAGAAGGAATTTCGCACTCTTCTAGACGTTGTCACATATTCGAAGTCCCCCAGAAAAAGGCTACAATCAAATTCATCTAACAGCGTGCCAGTTCAAAAGCTTGCATATTATCGAGATCTAGGGCACCTATTTGAATGTCCAAATGACTTCATTTTTTTACGATGTTGGCCATGTATTTTATTTTTTCCACATAAATAAATATGGCTATTTGTTTGAGAAAATTCAACTCCTTAGCATCTTGCATTGAATTTAAATAAAAGCAATTTATTCGCTTTAAAAAAGATCATTGCATATTAATGCACAAAGATTTCTTGAAAAGTACAGGTGCTTGGACGCTGATAGGAGTTCTTGCACGATACTAGAAATAATGACATGGGTACCAGTTCACAATCCACCAAGAAAAAGAAACGGCATTGATTAAAGATCAGGTGACATCAAAATATAAAAAAAAAACTAAAATTGGCAGAAAAAAATCAAGACTTCTTTCTGAAACAAAATCCCAGAGAGGATATCAGATCAAAACCCATTGAGGAATCAGAGAATACAAAATCAAGAATCAAATCAAAATTGGAAAGAATCAAGAAACGTCGAAAAATCAAGACTGACAACAAGAGATTGAGATTCTCTCTAAAATTCTAAAACAACATATTTTGCACATGCATTTTAGGCATACATAAGAACATTGCATCCATAGCACCACATATGGGTATAATTTTGCAGATTCCAGCCAGAGTAAATTTCAACTTCACAACGAAAGATATTGAACTCGAAAAAAATAATACATCTTGGATTTCAACTTCACATCGAAGGATATTCGGCTCAGAAAAACATTCAATCTGGACTCAACTTCACCACGAAAGAGTCACCCACGATTTCAACATCACATGGCAAATGATATCGTGCCCAAGATGCTCGATATAGACTCAACTTCGTGGAGAAGGAGTTATCTACAACATAGTTCAAAGGCAAGGAATTACCGCCTAACCCAGGCATCGAGCTAGCTTTCAACTTCACAACGAAGGATATCATGCTCGAAACACCCATTAACTCGATTTCACAATGAAGGAGTCAGTCACGATTTCAACTTCATGAAAAAGGATATCGTGTTCAAAGATATCACAAGATTGATTCAACTCCACGAAGAAGGAGTCACCCGTAATGTGACTCAACAACAGAGAGTCATCTTCTATTTTTAAATCGAATTTAACCTCCGCGACGGAGGATATTCTATAAAAAAAGAGTCGACTACAACATTGAGTCGGATTTCTATCACAGAAAAAGATATCACACTCACAGGAGAAAATTCATTTATGGAATCTTTTCTTACCGAACAAAAATTTATCCCTTTATCTTTGTCCAATTTCTTGTTACATGATAAATGGGCAAATAGGGGTAGCTGTAGACACTTATTTTTATACGGGGTCTTTATAAAATTATATAGCATATATGATATTATATATAATAATTTCAAAAATATATAGTATATATAGTTTTTGAAAATATATAGTATAGTTTTTGACAACACGATTTTGAAAACATATAATATATAGTTTTCTTAATTTTTTTTGAAAACATATATATAATATAGTCTTTGAAAACGTATTTTTGAAAACATATAATATATAGTTTTTTAAAACGATTCTTTGAAAAATATAATATATAGTTTTTAAAAATGGTTTCTGAAAAACATATATAATATAGTTTTTGAAAATATATAGTATAGTTTTTGAAAACATATTATAAAGTTTTTTTAAAAATATAATATATAGTTTTTGAAAATATATAGTATAGTTTTTAAAAAAACATATTGTTATATAATTTCAAAAACATATTATATGATTTTGAAAATATAATATATTATATAGTTTTTAAATATATTAAGCTTATTATTATATTAATTTTTATTTACTTATTTCTTTAGGTCCAAGTCCGGTCCAATTAAAGGAGTCCAAATGTCCAAAGTCCAGCATGGGTAACAATTCAGGGAATTCCAAATAAAGTGGAGGCCCAACAAAAAGGTCTGTCTGATCCAGCAGACCAATCTACGAATCAATGGACGGTGCCCAAGAAGCAAGCCCAAGCCACTGGGGTTTCATCATTAAGTTCAGTGTCGCACAAATGAGGGTCGTTAGATGAAGATGGAGATCAACGGCCA